TAGAAAAAAGAAATTAATGGAAAAAGGTATGCATGGTACTTCAATTGATTCCCTTCAAGAATCAATTAACAGTGACCTCCCTTGATTATATTAAAAGACAACTACAGTTAGTTAAGACATTCAAGAACAAGAAAAAGAGCAACTTTAAACTTCTTTGCTATATGTACACTAGATCTAAAATGGATTTCTGATATGTTTCTTTTTGTTTCCTTTTTTCCATTTTTTTTGGTTTTTGAAACAAGTTAATAATTTTTTATTTTGATGTAAGTATTAAATGCCAACAATAATAATATTTAAGCATTTGTCCTTTTTATTGTTATAGATTTTTTGGGTGAAGATTGTGGCCATATTAAGGCATTGCTTGTTCTTCTGAAAGGAGCTTTTGACATAAGACCAGATGAGGTTGTATACTCATTTACAGAGGATCATAATTATTCAGTAAGTCACTTGTCATGTGCTTATAATGTACAGCACCGCACAAATAAGTTGATTAGAATACATGCTTTGCATCTACTGCCACTCTACTATCATATTCCTGACATTGATTGATTTCTTAAAAGTGTAGTTACTGTTTACTACATAACTCCTGGACTTGTGATGAGGTGTAGACAGCCATGGTCCTTGTTCCTGTTGGAATGTCATCAATTTTATTAACAAATTGTTTTGTGTGAGAACATTTTGAATGATAATACATTCAGATTAAATCTTTCAAAGCAGGCCTACACATGTACCATCACCTAGGTCAGAGACCTTTACCCAGCAATAGATCTCTCAATCATGTATCAAAAATTGATAATTTTGGAGAACAGGCCTTTTCAAACCCATTTTCATCACTGGCCTACTACAAATTGCCTCATTTGATGTCTTTAGAATCCAAAGTTAAGAGTACATTATGTATTAGGTCCATGTTTAACAATAATAGTTTTATTTTCTTATCAAAATTTCTTCTTCAGACACCTTTGAAAGTGGTTAAATTAAATAATTATCAAGTTTGGTGTGTGTACTTGAGCCAAATCCTGCTATAGTGTCATGTGAGGTANGCTGCTGCAGGAGCTGTTGTTCTTGTGTTTGTTAATGTGGCTGTGCTGGACTCAGCTAACATAGCTGCTGTTGTTGTTGTTACAGCTACAGTTGCTGGGCTTGTTGAGCACTGAGGCTGGGGCTGCTGTTGTTGTGACAGCTGCATAACATGGAGTCCAAAGGCATTCATAACCCTGACCAATGCATCCTCTCTGAGTTTTTTTTTTCCCAGCATTGTTTGGATCAAGAAAGGGTATGTTCTCTGGCCACCACAGTGGTTGGGACTGCCTATTTGCCCAAGTGCTTGAGTTTTTTCCTGTAAAAAAGTACCAATTATATGACTGTAACAGTAAAACTTGCATTAAATGGGCAATCTCAAGACCCTTACTAATTAGTGTCCCCCCCATATTAAACCCTCAGTCGAGTCAGCTGGTTCTACCAAATTGTGAAATTGATAGCCAGTTTATAATTGACTCCATATGATCATGATTGGGTCAGTAAGTGCATCAAGCATATTCAAATTATAATAAGCATATTCAAATTATAATAAGCTACTCTATAAAAATGGTTTTTTTTTTGGAGAATGATCAAGTCTTCTTGTGCTCTGTTACAGCAGATTGCTACACAAACCATTAGCGTGCAATGTATGGCTAAAGACCCTGGCATGCTTCAGTAAGTATAGGGTAGATTGAACACTTGGCTATTACAAACCTTTTCCATGTAAGGCCCAATTAGGTTGTAAACCAGGCAACAAGAAAACTTACTTAACTGTACGGTCTTTCTGCAATATATCTATAAAAGTCAGCTCAAATGGATTAAATTTGGGTACTAGACAAATTATCAGCTCTGTTTAAGTGTCAACATGCTAATTAATAAACCTGTCCTCTGAATAAAAGTTCAGTTTACATTTAAAGCAAATATGGAAAAAATATATTGTGACCAGCTATACTAGTGTCCATTAAAACGGGGTGTCTGCTTTACATGGGATTTTACTGTAGCAATGAATAGCCAATGTAAATAAAAAAAAATTTTGTTTTTCTTTTAAATTTCCCTTGATAACCATGCAGTACAACAATTATAACTGCAGTGCCATTAAAAATAGAACTCATGATTTGTGAAATTTACTTACAATTTGGCTCGACCTATATCATTCTTATCAGCCATTTTAGGAGCGACATAACTCCTAGACAATTGAAAACTTTTTCATGCTGATAACAACAAAAGCTGCCTTTTTTTTGTAAATTAACTCTTAACATTAGACTTACCAGTGCTACTTCTTACAGCTGAAACAACAAGTGACCTTATGTCAGGAACACTGAGTAGTCTGAATAATCAGCCTGAATTGGAATTTTATTCCTTAAATGCATCCAGTTCTTGTAACTGGTTGACACTTCTTTCAGCCACCACCAAGAATTTAAAAAAAAGAAAACTTTCAAGTATTGGTACATATACACACATATATATCAATTTTGTTTTTCTAGAAAACTGGTTCATTATTTTCTTGTTCAAGACTAGGATATTCATGGTTGTGGCATACTATATCCTTTGATTAAACAAAGCTAAAAATTTACGTGCATTATTTTTCACTAATCAAATAATCACCATGCAATAGTTCTTGAACTTACATTGATCACATCTTCCAAAAGACTCCACAATGCTTCTTTGAAATGCGATTTTCTCAAAGGACAAAAAAAATTACTCTAATTCTGATGGACCTACAAATAAGAATCATTAATAAAACATTTGAATATGCCACATCAGCATTTTTTACACTGCTTATCCTAGTTCATTCAAAGCTTTCTTGCAATTACCACTTGAAAAATAGCAAACATACACCTGCCAGCAAGGTATTTTAATCCCATATAAAAACAGAATTATCATTACATGAAAAACATGGCTATCCATTTTTGAAGCAAATCAGTACCACTGGCATCTTTCTCCAAGTGTACTGTTCATTTATCTAGTAAAATAAAAATATCAAAGCTGTCACAGGGCATAATTTAGTTTATACCCTCCTTTTATTAAATCTCAGATCTACCACACAGCTGATCAAGAAACCTCTGCTTGCAGGGGCATGGAACCAAATTATCTCTAAAACTGAGCAAGAGATGTACTTCATTATATCCATAATGCATAAATAATTAAGGGGCCAGAGGCAAACTTAGCCTATGTCAAATTTTAGGCTGTTTTCATTTTCGCTCAGATTTGCCTAACTTTTTGGAATGTGAGTTACAGATTGGTAGAGAATCATTCCTCTAGATCTGACTTTTTTTTTTGGATTTAATCTTTCTTTTACCAAGGACAAAAAGAAGCCATTTGTTTCTCCAACAGGTTTTGCATTAATCATATCTCAATAGAGCCCCAAAATGAGACCTAGGCTGGTTATCCTTGCCCCTCAAATTGTCCTAACCTTTTTTCAAGGGACAGTTGGGTTTGAGAGTCTGTCTTGGATCTCTCAGCTGCATTCTGAATAAAGTACAGCTGTAATATCAACGAAATATTATGTTAGTATATATGATAACGATTAATTTCAAACCACATCAATCAACACCCTTTGGATGCAACTTTCACACATTTCAGAAAAAGACACTTGCAATGCTCTGCGATGATAGGTCTTAGGTTGAATGATCACTTGGTACTGTAGCTAAAGAGTTAATTCTAAGATCGTAACAATAGCAACCGTCGTCAGGCCAGCCTATTAAAGACAATCTATTAAAATTATGTTACGATCGGTACGTTTGGAGCTCATTCAAATTATGAATTCATTGTCATCAATCGTCATCGAGAACTTGGCTGATGGTAACTATGAATGTCATCCGAGTATAGAATAAAGAAATACTTTAAAAGTACAACTGAAAGGCTTCCATTTCTTTTTAGAGGCCCACTTTAAGGAGTGGGTAAATATGACGAAAATTTAGTAAATTCGAATTCACTTTTTCTAATTCTACAAGCTTGCATGGTCCTTTATCCAACCCCAATTCGCAAAAGTGGATTTTGTTGTTACATTACAATCTCTAGTCAGTTGCAATCGTTGTATTTTACGTAATTTCGCACGTTTAAGTGTATCAGCTACTAGAGTGATAAAAGCCGACTGAAATATGGGCATATTACTCGGTTTTGATTTTTTGGTGGCGCCGGCTTCTGCATCGTCTCCACTGTCATCGTTACGGTCCTAACACAAAAAAAATTCACAGGTGATGTATCGCGCATTTAGAGATTAAGATGTTGGATTCTGAGTTTCACTTAAACAACAACAAAAAAAATACTACTTCCAGCACTGTCAAAAGAGAAACCCTGCTCTGCCATGTTTGAATCCGTGCATTAGTTTGGGGCACTGGGCACTGTATGTGATATGACACATTATGACACATGCGTAGTCCATGGTTATTCTGTTTGGTTCTGTCTACACATTTTGACCCAAATAATACCTCCTCACACATGTAAGAATCCTTTTGTGTTTCCACGTGAAGACGAGGCTAGTCGGTCCAGAACAATGAACGCCAAGTTTGCATTCGGTGTTAGAGCTCCTTTTATTTTGACAAAACTATATTAGCATAAATTTGCATGTTGGAAGTTTTAATGTCAGGGAAACACCAGTCGACCTTGAGATCAGAAAGTTTCGCATACTTTCTCGGCAGAAGTACAGTTCTCTATCGACATTTTCATCGTATTTCAGTTTCTTGGGTAAGTAGTTGAATTTAGTAATTCAAAGTTCATTAATTTCCCGTTCTCAGATTGGGTTAAACACCCTTGTAATTATTTATTAGGCGGGACATCTTGGTTTTTTTGATAGAATTTTTATAACTTGTTTGGATCACGTCTTCGCGAACATCAAGCGCGAAGCTTTCGCTGAGGGAAAATGGCCGGCAGTGCTTTTTCTTTTGATTCTATTAACTGGTAACGTAAATTGATTAAATGCAGGGCAGCTAGATATTGCACAAGGTTCGAGTATTTCGTAAAATTCAAAACCAAAAGAATTTGGTAACACAATAGACGCTATTCTTATTTAATGACATGTAAATGAGTGGCCGGGTATTCTGAAGTTTAGCCATTTTCAAATCGCTTGAAATTTTTTAATGCCGGGGGACTTAATTTGTCTAATACTTGACCGTGTGCGGTTGCAAGAAAATTAAGCCACAGCAATACTGCTTATCTGCGAACAGTTGTTCGAGAAAAATGCATAAATATTTGCATTTGTTCTAAGGACTTATTTTTCTAGTTTTCCGTTGTTTTGTAAATCGAAGCTTTTCTCCCAGTAATGTTTATTAAAATGCAAATAGAGTTGGCCGGATGTTTATGATCTGCACAGTTCTGTAAACATATCTATCGATTTCAATGAGATCTTAACCGATGTAATGCTGGTTGCTGTCTCAGACTGTCACGCCTGAACAGATGTGCTTGACAATGGACCCTTCCACCGTTTTTACGGCCATATTGTTTGGGGGTCAAGCAAAACCTCGTTGCGTAGCAACAAACAATATATTATGTTGTTATTATTCGACGTGCGTCGGTACCTTCGCTCAATATCGTAACTTTATAAAGGGAAAATCGCTTATTTTCGTCTCCAAATGTGGTGGGAACATAGATAAGGCGTTACTAAAAGTAAGTGCCGAATTTTTGGCGAAGTACCTTTCTATCACTGCGTTTTATGGGCAGATTGATATGTTGTTTGAAGGTGACCTTGTGGCCGCCATGGTGCGAGAATGGCATTTTAAAAAGCACTTCTTTCGGTTGAGAAATTAGAATATGTTTTTGAGCCATCGATATATTGTAGTTTTAAATTTTAGGATTTATGGTGGGAGTAAGTACTCAAATAAGGTTCTGAAAGCATCTGTATTCTGCATGCCAGTATAGAGTCGAACATTAGCATCTCTGGTTNCCGAGTTATTGGTTTTTCAAGAGTATGTTAGCCTGTCTGGACGAAAAGGTTTAAAGAGCACGTAAACACATTTATTTCAATTTTTCCTCTACACAGTTAAGTTACTTAAATACAAAAAGTCATTCGGAAAAGCTGTATTCTGACCTTCTGGCATTATGTTGGCCGCGAGGTCACATCCAAAGAAAAAGGATCTCAATGTTCCCATAAAATGCAGAGAAGAAAAGGTTTTTCACTGAGAGGAGAAAAAGTCACTCGCCTGTATTGATGTCTTCTCTTTTTCAGTGATGAATATTAATTTTTGTTCCTGAACAAAGCGAAAATTTAAACAAGGGTAGCGATGCGCGTCTTCTCATCATAAGAGATTCTATGGCTCGTTGCTACGCAATGAGGTTTTGTTTGACCCCCAACCAATATGGCTGATAAAACCATGGAAGGGTCTATGCTAGTGTGAGAAAAGTTTGCAAAACAAGGATTTTCTTGCTAACCAGTAACTAAAGAGTTAAACAAATGAATAAATATCACTTACCGAAAGTATGCATCTTACTTTAAAGCACCAACTGGTCAATTTAATTTTTGCTGTGAACACAGTGAATACTCAAGCAGATAACGTAAGACACTTAATATGCAATATTTTCTTTGCTTACTCCTTAAAGACAATTAAAATTTTCAAGGTCAGTAGCAAACAGAATGGCTCGTCACCGTTTACCGAGAACATTTTTGCTTCCTCTGGTGTGCATCACAACCCTCTTTCACTTTGAGCTGGTGAAGGCAGATGTTCGTGTGCCCTGTGGCATGGTGAAAGACTGGTTTCCTAGTGGTACAAAGCCTCAGAGTTCACAGCCCCCTTACATGCTGAATGTAACTGATCCGGATGGGAACATGGATGAACCATATTATGCATCCAGGCAGAAGCCATACACAAGTGAATAACTTTTTTTTTTCTTTGCATGTTTCTAGGATCAGCCAAATATCGTTTGAATAAACTCCTCATAAAATTGCTGATTTTTATCTCTTACTGGGGTGCTTAAGCTACATTCTTCAGTAAGGAAATCCTACATTGGTATTTAGGGATATTATCACATTTTCTTGACCCACCAAGGGGATGGTGAGATGTACACACGTCCCCACTCCCTTAGCTTGTACTTTTGTCTGTGGATGGAAATTGCTCAGCCCTCATGGAAGGTGAAATTAAGGGAGGGGACCTTATCATGTTGTTAAATTTTGAACTCTCTCTCAAATGGATATAGGATAATTAATAACACTAAGGTTAAGGGTGTAGTTAGGGGGAAGTCCTGGGTGCTGGTGAAAACACTCCCTACCCCCTTTTCCAAGTGAGGTGATTTGAAAAAGCACAATTTCGAAGAGTCCACACCTCATAAAGATATATCACTTTCATTAACATACAGCGTGGATGTAGACATGACAGTAGGGAAGGTAGCCCAAGTGTTACATAGTAGGCCTCCAGGGTCCACCACTGAACTGATGAACAGATTTGAAGATGTATTGCAAAAATTGGACTCATATCATATGGAGGTTGACATTATCGGTGACTTAAGCTGTAATGTTGGTGCAACATCACCAGATTGCAGCACTCAAAAACTACTAGATCTCTGTGATAACAACAACCTTTATTTATTCTAATTTCTAATGACTTATGACTATTTTAACCAATTGGACATGCCCACAGGTAGTTACCAGTATAGGCAATTAATTAATCAGCCAACATGTATAACACAGCTCACATCATCTATTATTGATGTCTTTTTAACTAATCATCAGTGGAATTTTTCGGACTCTGGAGTCACCGATATTGGAATCAGTGATCACTGTGTGGTGTATGCAGTAAGAAAGATTTTTATCCCCTAATCACATCCAAAGACTGTAATGAGCAGATGCTTTAAAAATTTTATTTCACATAGTTTTCGAACTGATTTATCTATGGTCCTGTGGCATCTGATTGAACAGGAGCGAAATCCTGACATTGCTGGGGATATATGGCAACATGTGTTCTTAGAAATTGCTGATAGCCATGCACCACTAAAGAAGAAGAGAGTGAAAGGAATCTCTTTCCCCTGGATTACTCCAGAGCTAAAAAGGCTAATGTTTCAGAGAGACAAACTCAAAACGTTGGCCTCAAGGTTCCCAACAGATTGCAATTGGACTTCTTTCAAACACATGAAGAATAAGGTTAATTATGAAATTAAAAATGCTAAAATGAACTATCATAATGCTTTCTTCAAAGATAACTGCAGAAACATAAAGAACACTTGGAAGGGAGTTAATAGACTAATTGGAAATAAACCTAAATTTAATAAGGTAACTCAGCTGGACATTGGAGATACTGTAAATACTGACCCCATTAAAATCAGTAATATACTCAACATACATTTCTCCAAAATAGGACCTTCCTTAGCCTCTAAAATTAAAGATACATCCAGCAATTTTACTGACTATATTACCCCCTACAGAACACATTTTTAATTTGGCGAAAGTATCATGCCAGGGGGTCTTCAATTTGATTCAGAAAATACCGAGTAATAAAGCCAGTGGTCTTGATAACATCTCAACGCGTCTCCTGAAAGAAGCATCTCCCATAGTTACTCGTAGTCTAACTTTTATAACTAGTCAATTACCACTGAAATATTTCCAAATGCTTGGAAGTGAGCTAGAGTTTTACCAATATTTAAAGAAGACTTCAGGGCTGATCCTAACAACTACAGACCTATCTCAGTTCTGCCTGTAGTAAGTAAATTAATTTAAAGAGTGGTTTTAATCAATTATATGAATATTTAAATAATAATAATTTTTCAACAGAATCACAATCTGGCTTCAGACCTATGTTTTCCACTGAAACAGCTTTACTTGAGGCTACGAATGAATGGCTATGGAATATTGACAACAGTCTCTTAAATGGTGTGATATTCCTGAACTTGAAAAAAGCTTTTGATACCATGGATCATGCTATCCTTCTGGAAAAGCTTAAACTCTATGGGGTCAGTTCTCAATCTCTAAACTGGTTCCAGTCCTATTTATCTGATCGAAAG